GATGGATGGATGAATGATGGATGGATGGATGGATGGATGGATGATGGATGGATGGATGATGGATGGATGGATGATGGATGGATGGATGGATGGATGGATAGATGGATGGATGAATGATGGATGGATGGATAGATGGATGGATGGATGATGGATGGATGGATAGATGGATGGATGAATGATGGATGGATGGATGGATGGATGGATGATGGATGGATGGATGATGGATGGATGGATGATGGATGGATGGATGGATGGATGGATAGATGGATGGATGAATGATGGATGGATGGATGGATGGATGGATGAATGATGGATGGATGGATGGATGGATGGATGGATGATGGATGGATGGATAGATGGATGGATGGATGATGGATGGATGGATAGATGGATGGATGGATGATGGATGGATGGATGAATGATGGATGGATGGATGGATGGATGGATGGATGAATGATGGATGGATGGATGGATGGATGGATGATGGATGGATGGATGGATGGATGAATGATGGATGGATGGATGGATGGATGGATGAATGATGGATGGATGGATGGATGGATGGATGGATGATTGATGGATGGATGGATGGATGAATGATGGATGGATGGATGGATGGATGATGGATGGATGGATGGATGGATGGATGAATGATGGATGGATGGATGGATGGATGGATGAATGATGGATGGATGGATGGATGGATGAATGATGGATGGATGGATGGATGGATGGATGATGGATGGATGGATGATGGATGGATGATGGATGGATGGATGGATGAATGATGGATGGATGGATGGATGGATGAATGATGGATGGATGGATGGATGATGGATGGATGGATGGATGGATGGATGGATGGATGGATGGATGAATGATGGATGGATGGATGGATGAATGATGGATGGATGGATGGATGGATGGATGGATGGATGGATGGATGGATGGATGGATGGATGAATCGTTGGGTGGATGGATGGATGGGTGGATGGATGGATAAGTGGTTCGATGGATAGTTGATTGGATGGATGAATGGATGAGTGAATGGGTGGATGAATGGATGCATGGATGGTGGATGGATGGATGGATGGATGAATGATGGATGGATGGATGGATGGATAAGTGGTTGGTTGGATGGATGAATGGATGAGTGAATGGGTGGAGGGATGGATGCATGGATGGATGGATGGATGGACGGATGAATGATGGATGGATGGGTGGATGCATGGATGGTGGATGGATGGATGGATGGTGGATAGATGGATGGATAAGTGGTTTCATGGATAGTTGGTTGGATGATGGATGGATGGATGAGTGAATGGATGGAGGAATGGATGCATGGATGAATGGATGGATGGATGGATGGATGGATGGATGGATGGAGGAATGGATGCATGGATGGATGGATGGATGGATGGATGGATGGATGGATGAGTGAATGGATGGAGGAATGGATGGATGGATGACGGATGGATGGATGGATGGATGAATGACGGATGGATGGATGGATGGATGAATGATGGATGGATGGATGGATGGATGGATGAATGATGGATGGATGGATGGATGGATGGATGGATGGATGAATGACGGATGGATGGATGGATGGATGAATGATGGATGGATGGATGGATGGATGGATGAATGATGGATGGATGGATGGATGGATGGATGGATGGATGAATGATGGATGGATGGATGGATGGATGGATGAATGATGGATGGATGGATGGATGGATGGATGAATGATGGATGGATGGATGGATGGATGGATGACGGATGGATGGATGGATGGATGAATGACGGATGGATGGATGGATGGATGAATGATGGATGGATGGATGGATGGATGGATGAATGATGGATGGATGGATGGATGGATGGATGAATGATGGATGGATGGATGGATGGATGGATGACGGATGGATGGATGGATGGATGAATGACGGATGGATGGATGGATGGATGAATGATGGATGGATGGATGGATGGATGGATGGATGGATGGATGGATGAATGATGGATGGATGGATGGATGGATGGATGACGGATGGATGGATGGATGGATGAATGACGGATGGATGGATGGATGGATGGATGGATGAATGATGGATGGATGGATGGATGGATGGATGAATGACGGATGGATGGATGGATGGATGGATGAATGATGGATGGATGGATGGATGGATGGATGGATGGATGAATGATGGATGGATGGATGATGGATGGATAGATAGATAGATAGATAGATAGATAGATAGATAGATAGATAGATAGATAGATAGATAGATAGATAGATAGATAGATAGATAGATAGATAGATAGATAGATAGATAGATAGATAGATAGATAGATAGATAGATAGATGATAGGGATTTAATAAAAAGTTTGGATTTATTTTGGTTCAAACTTATATAATATTCTTCTATATATAATGTTCTTAGTAAATTGATAATAAATGAAATTTTATATGATTTGGGTATACACAAGAACAATATATTACAATATTCCAAAAATGTAAAAAAAAAAAATAATAATAATAATAAATAAAAATAAAGATCTTTAAATTCAAAATGTCAGAAATAGTGTTGAGTTCCAGGCTTTATAGATTGGATGAAAACAAAGCCTTGTTTTAGTTTAGAAAACATGCAAATTGAAATGGTGGAACGGGTCCACCCCTTTGGAGTTATGGGTCATTTGGATTCTTTGTTAACCTGCAATGCCCCATATCTGTCTAAGTCTCATAAAGGGGGGTCGTTAGAGGGAATTGTTGGCCTGGATGAAGAGGCTAGATTTTCTGGTCCTCTGTATGGGGATGGGGGTGGCAATGATAGTTGGAAGGGATCAACTCTATTGCTAAATTGTAGGTTTTTGAAAGCTAAAATCTGAGTCCACCCCCCTTTTTTTGGAATGACTATAACCTGGATGACTGAGAATCTCCACCAGTACACTATATGATGACACCAATCATCAGTGTAACTAAACTATTGCAAATACAATCCTTGTGTAACTAATGTAAGACATACATAGACTACAAACACATCTGGTGTTAAATGCGTTTGGTAAAGCAGCAGAACTGTGATTCTGACATTCATCCAGCAGGTGGAGCTGTTTGCTCTTAAATTCACTGACATTTTGCACCAGGAACGTCACTTTATTGATTTACAGAACAAAAAAAAACGCATTAGCTTTGATTAGACTGAGCGGATTGTTTAAGGAGAAGCACAAATGCGATGAGTTCTGGAGGAAATAATGAATCTGCTGGGTGGAGAATCTACCAGAATATCTTTCTCAGTCTGACTCAACTTGTTTTAAAGGAGCCTGGCATCAAATTAGGGGTTATTTATCGGAATGATGTTCTGTTTTTTTTAAGTGTTTAGAATTAGTCCCAGAAAATCTGTAATAAGAAAAAAATAGGCAATTAGTTAATTTAAATGGTAAGTAGATAAATTTTGGGGTCTGGATTACTAATCCAGAGGCCGTTTGGGCTTAAGGTAGATAGGGCCTGTTAAGATTCTACCATTTGTTGACTATCAGCTCAGAGAGTCTGATTCGAGAGGATCAGCACCAAGGACAGCATCCATTCTCAGTTATTATGGGGGTCAACCTGAAGATACACTATATTGCCAAAAGTATTTGCTCACCTGCCTTGACTCACATATGAGCTTAAGTGACATCCCGTTCCTAATCCATAGGGTTCAATATGACGTCGGTCCACCCTTTGCAGCTAGAACAGCTTCAACTCTTCTGGGAAGGCTGTCCACAAGGTTTAGGAGTGTGTTTATGGGAATTTTTGACCATTCTTCCAGAAGCGCATTTGTGAGGTCGCACACTGATGTTGGACGAGAAGGCCTGGCTCTCAGTCTCCGCTCTAATTCATCCCAAAGGTGTTCTATCGGGTTGAGGTCAGGACTCTGTGCAGGCCAGTCAAGTTCATCCACACCAGACTCTGTCATCCATGTCTTTATGGACCTTGCTTTGTGCACTGGTGCACAGTCATGTTGGAAGAGGAAGGGGCCAGCTCCAAACTGTTCCCACAAAGTTGGGAGCATGGAATTGTCCAAAATGTCTTGGTATGCTGAAGCATTCAGAGTTCCTTTCACTGGAACTAAGGGGCCAAGCCCAGCTCCTGAAAAACAACCTCACACCATAATCCCCCCTCCACCAAACTTTACACTTGGCACAATGCAGTCAGACAAGTACCGTTCTCCTGGCAACCGCCAAACCCAGACCCGTCCATCAGATTGCCAGATGGAGAAGCGCGATTCGTCACTCCAGAGAACGCGTCTCCACTGCTCTAGAGTCCAGTGGCGGCGTGCTTTACACCACCGCATCCGACGCTTTGCATTGCACTTGGTGATGTATGGCTTGGATGCAGCTGCTCGACCATGGAAACCCATTCCATGAAGCTCTCTGCGCACTGTTCTTGAGCTAATCTGAAGGCCACATGAAGTTTGGAGGTCTGTAGTGATTGACTCTGCAGAAAGTTGGCGACCTCTTCGCACTATGCGCGTCAGCATCCGCTGACCCCGCTCCGTCAGTTTACGTGGCCTACCACTTCGTGGCTGAGTTGCTGTCGTTCCCAAACACTTCCATTTTCTTATAATACAGCTGACAGTTGACCGTGGAATATTTAGGAGCGAGGAAATTTCACGACTGGATTTGTTGCACAGGTGGCATCCTATCACAGTTCCACGCTGGAATTCACTGAGCTCCTGAGAGCGACCCATTCTTTCACAAATGTTTGTAAAAACAGTCTGCATGCCTAGGTGCTTGAATTTATACACCTGTGGCCATGGAAGTGATTGGAACACCTGATTCCAATAATTTGGATGGGTGAGCAAATACTTTTGGCAATATAGTGTAGTTTTCCCAAAACAGGCCAAGTAAGATACAAAGAAAAACATTAACAGATTATTTTATTTTATTTCCTTTTATAATTTGACGTCCAACATCTTTCTATGTTTTATATAACCAGAAAATGAAAGGCTATACGCGTCTTCAGAGTGAACTTTCTTCTGCTTTGTGTGAAACCTAAAATCAGTTTTCTGGGAGGTTCTGCAGAGCCTTTGTTCGACCGAACAGCTGGGGTTCTGCTCCGCCTGCAGGGCGTAGACACTGGGTCCAGTCTGGAGCCTCGACTGAGGAGGAGGGAGAGAAGGAGGAAGGAAGCGTCCAGCGGTCAGTGAGCCGCAGCCAGACAGCAGGAGGGAAAGCCCGGCCGCAGCGGCCACCGCGCCCCGCTGGAGGATGGAGGAACAGGAGGAGATGATCTGGGCTGGAGAGAGAAAACTTGAAGCAACAGAGTGAATCAATGAAAGGAAAGCAGGCAGGGCGACCACTCTGCTAATGACTGATTTTATATAATTGGACCATGAGCCGAACCGAGCCAGTAATGGAAGAGGATCCAGACATCTGCGCCGCGCATCACCGCCCAGATCGCCTCTCAGACGCCGCGGACGCACCGCCACAGATCACCGCAGAAAACTGCTACGAGCTGCTGGAGGAGGCGAAGCGCTGCGGCTCGGAGCGCGACAGGGAGCGGCTGCTGGGCTTCATGAGCGACCACTACCTGCAGGTTCTGCGGAACCCCGCAGTGTTCGGCCGGCTCACCGCGGCGGAGAGGGAGCTCATCCTGGCTCGCAGGATGGAGGGGAGGAAGGTGCTGGCGGTGGCAGAGTTCTGCGAGGTGCTGGAACGCGGGGGCGGCCGCCCGCACAGCCCGCAGCTGGAGGACCCCACCCAGCGGCGGGTGTTCTGCCTGGACCCGGACACCCAGCGGTGGGAGGTTCTGACCGCCCTGCCAGAGGAGGTCCCGGCTAAAGGCTCCGGGATGTGCACCCTCTACAACTACCTGTTCGTGGCGGGCGGGGTGAGGACGCGGACGGACGGCCGCTCCAAGGCGTCGGACCGGGTGTTCTGCTTCAACCCGCGGACCGGCCAGTGGAGCCCGGTCCGCCCGCTGACGCAGCCCCGCTGCCAGCTGCGGCTGGTCTCCATGGACGGACACCTGTACGCCATCGGGGGGGAGTGTCTGTTCACCGTGGAGCGGTACGACCCGCGCGCGGACAGGTGGGCTCACGTGGCTCCGCTGCCTAAAGGTTCCTTTGCGGTCGCGCACGAGGCCGTTGCGTGCGGCGGCGCGCTGTTCGTGTCCGGCGGCTCGCTCTTCTACCGCCTGCTGCGTTACGACAGCCGCCGCGACGAGTGGGAGGAGTGTCCGTTCAACGAGAGCCGGCGGCGCTCCACGGACATGGTGGCGCGCCGCAGCCTCATCTACCGCTTCGACGTGGAGCGGGAGCGCGCGGCCGTGAGCGTGTACAGGTACAACACGCTGGTCAAGGTGTGGCTCGGCGGCGCGCTCTTCCCGCTGGAGAACCCGCAGCCGTTTCGCTGCGCGGTGCTGGAGGACCGCATCTACTGCGTGAGCCGCAGCCACGCGCTGCAGTTTGAAGTGCGGGAGGAGCGGGGGGGCTTCCTGCAGGAGGTGCTGCCTTCTCCTGCCGAGGCCCGAGGAACTCTGGTCCCGTTTGTCCTCAGTCTGGACAAGTGATAAGACGCTGCAGGTTCAAAGCTGAGAAGTTGCTGGTTCGAATCCCAGCTACCCTCCACAACAGGGAAGTCCTGCAATAAGCCACTGAAAAAAAGGTGTAAATAACACTGGATTCAAATAGTTTAATGTAAAGTTGAGTGGAAGGAAAAAGTGTTGCACCGTTTTTTTTTCTTTAGTTTGAAATATTTTCTTTTTTCAGAAACCCAAAAATTGGTGCTACTTCCCAATCCTTTGAAAGCTGTGATCACCCCTGATGCATGTTCACTTGTTCACCCATACCATGCTGATGTTCTTAAGTATCCTAAAGGTTCAGGTCAGGTCATGTTGTAGCCCAGCTGTAGTTAAAGCCAATACCAGTAATTTTATGTGAGCAAGAACCTAGTTATATGAATAAATGTCCTCAAAAACTAATTTTTATATCACATTTTTTCCTTCCACTTACCTTTCTAATAAAATGCAATTTGAGGTGTCAAAGTATTCATGTTTATTACTCCAGTAGAACTTAAGTATAAATCCTACTGAAAACACTTGAAAACACTTTTATAGAAGAGGATAAACTTCAGCTTTTTACTCCAGTAAAAGTATAAAAGTACCCTTTTTAAAACTACTTAAAGTATAAAAGTAAAAGTAATGCAGGAAAACAACTGCTCTACAATTCTGGATGATAATTTGTTTAGATTTTATGTTCTTTGTTTTATAACTAATGGTAACAAAGTCAGATTTAATTTTGCATCATCTTTTTTTTTAGGTAGCAACAAGTTGGGGCAGCACCGACTCCAAACACACAAAAAGTATTTGTCTGGATGAAGCTAATTATTTTAATGTTTGTTTATTTTTTTCTTTAAATACCAACAGGCGGTAATAAAAATAAGCTTAAATGAAACAAAACTAACCAGTCTTTTTTTTAAATGTAAGGAGAAGAAAGTAGAGCTCATTGCAAAAAAATTAAATGAGTAGAAGTTAAAAGTTTTCTAAAATATAATGACTCCAGTAAAGTATAGCTAAAATTTTAGGGAAGAGGATTAGGGCCACTGAAAAAAATAAATAAAAGTTAACTGATTTTTAAATTTTCTTTCAGTTTAATATGGGGAAAAAGTCAGAATTCTGACTTTTTTTATCAGAAATTTTTTACGTGCCAGAGGGGTCCCCTCATTAATGGAGGAGCAGAAGGTCATTAGAACAAGAGAGCTAGTCTCTAAAACAGACATGGCTATGGCTTGATGCTAACATGTTTGCTAGCTGTCAGAATTCTGAGAAAAAAGTCAGTATTCTGAGATTAAAGTCAAAATTCTGAGATTAAAGTCAGAATTCTGAGATTAAAGTCAGAATTCTGAGATTAAAGTCAGAATTCTGAGAAAAAAAGTCAGAATTCTGAGAAAAAAAAGTCAGAATTCTGAGATTAAAGTCAGAATTCTGAGAAAAAAGTTCAAATTCTGAGATTAAATCAGAATTCTGAGATTAAAGTCAGAATTCTGAGATTAAAGTTAAAATTCTGAGATTTAAGTCAGAATTCTGAGAAAAAAGTTCAAATTCTGAGATTAAATCAGAATTCTGAGATTAAAGTCAGAATTCTGAGATTAAAGTCAGAATTCTGAGAAAAAAGTTCAAATTCTGAGATTAAAGTCAGAATTCTGAGATTAAAGTCAGAATTCTGAGAAAAAAAGTCAGAATTCTGAGAAAAAAAAGTCAGAATTCTGAGATTAAAGTCAGAATTCTGAGAAAAAAGTTCAAATTCTGAGATTAAATCAGAATTCTGAGATTAAAGTCAGAATTCTGAGATTAAAGTTAAAATTCTGAGATTTAAGTCAGAATTCTGAGAAAAAAGTTCAAATTCTGAGATTAAATCAGAATTCTGAGATTAAAGTCAGAATTCTGAGATTAAAGTCAGAATTCTGAGAAAAAAGTTCAAATTCTGAGATTAAAGTCAGAATTCTGAGATTAAAGTCAGAATTCTGAGAAAAAAAGTCAGAATTCTGAGAAAAAAAGTCAGAATTCTGAGATTAAAGTCAGAATTCTGAGATTAAAGTCAGAATTCTGAGAAAAAAGTTCAAATTCTGAGATTAAATCAGAATTCTGAGATTAAAGTCAGAATTCTGAGATTAAAGTTAAAATTCTGAGATTTAAGTCAGAATTCTGAGAAAAAAGTTCAAATTCTGAGATTAAATCAGAATTCTGAGATTAAAGTCAGAATTCTGAGATTAAAGTCAGAATTCTGAGAAAAAAGTTCAAATTCTGAGATTAAATCAGAATTCTGAGATTAAAGTCAGAATTCTGAGATTAAAGTCAGAATTCTGAGAAAAAAGTCAGAATTCTGAGAAAAAAGTTCAAATTCTGAGAAAAAAGTCAGAATTCTGAGAAAAAAGTTCAAATTCTGAGATTAAAGTCAGAATTCTGAGATTAAAGTCAGAATTCTGAGATTAAAGTCAGAATTCTGAGAAAAAAAAAGTCAGAATTCTGAGATTAAAGTCAGAATTCTGAGAAAAAAGTTCAAATTCTGAGATTAAATCAGAATTCTGAGATTAAAGTCAGAATTCTGAGATTAAAGTCAGAATTCTGAGAAAAAAGTTCAAATTCTGAGATTAAATCAGAATTCTGAGATTAAAGTCAGAATTCTGAGATTAAAGTCAGAATTCTGAGATTAAAGTCAGAATTCTGAGAAAAAAGTTCAAATTCTGAGATTAAATCAGAATTCTGAGATTAAAGTCAGAATTCTGAGATTAAAGTCAGAATTCTGAGAAAAAAAAGTCAGAATTCTGAGATTAAAGTCAGAATTCTGAGAAAAAAGTTCAAATTCTGAGATTAAATCAGAATTCTGAGATTAAAGTCAGAATTCTGAGATTAAAGTTAAAATTCTGAGATTTAAGTCAGAATTCTGAGAAAAAAGTTCAAATTCTGAGATTAAATCAGAATTCTGAGATTAAAGTCAGAATTCTGAGATTAAAGTCAGAATTCTGAGAAAAAAGTTCAAATTCTGAGATTAAAGTCAGAATTCTGAGATTAAAGTCAGAATTCTGAGATTAAAGTCAGAATTCTGAGAAAAAAGTTCAAATTCTGAGATTAAAGGAATAGTACACCCAAAACATGATTAGCCTTCATTTTCTACTCACCTCCATGCTGAACAACACTCTGGAGTACTTTTTTGATATCTCAAATGCATCTGGAGATCTGGGAGGCTTCTTGCTGTCTGCTGACATTCAAATAATGGAGGTCCATGGCGCCCGAGACAGAAAGGTCCATAAAAGTCCACAAAAACGTGTCAATATTCCTCCATACTGCTCGTCCAATGTAATCCAAGTGTCCTGAGTGGGTAGCATCCAGAATTTACTCGAAACGAAGTAATTTAGAATGTTTTTAGAGCATAAACAGTAGTGTATAGGATTTCCTAATAGCGCCCCCATGCGCGCTCACGATTCTACGGAAGCCGGCAGACCAAACCGGAAGGAAGTGCGCATTCAGCGTCTGCTCTGCCGATAATGCAAGCGTAGAAGAAGAAATGTGCTGTTTACCTGTGCAAAGAAAGAAACAACGAAAGAAAAATATCTGAGGACTTCAGTGTTGAGGAAGAGCATGAGTTCTTTGCCGAGCTGAATGCGCTGGTTTGGTCTGCCGGCTTCCGTAGAATCGTGAGCGCGCATGGGGGCGCTATTAGGAAATCCTATACACTACTGTTTAGGCTCTAAAACGTTCTAAATGACTTCGTTTCGAGTAAATTCTGGATGCTACCCACTCAGGACACTTGGATTACATTGGACGAGCAGTATGGAGGAATATTGACAAGTTTTTGTGGACTTTTGTGGACCTTTCTGTCTCGGGCGCCATAGACCTCCATTATTTGAATGTCAGCAGACAGCAAGAAGCCTCCCAGATCTCCAGATGCATTTGAGATATCAAAAAAGTACTCCAGAGTGTTGTTCAGCATGGAGGTGAGTAGAAAATGAAGGCTAATCATGTTTTGGGTGTACTATTCCTTTAAATCAGAATTCTGAGATTAAAGTCAGAATTCTGAGAAAAAAGTTCAAATTCTGAGATTAAATCAGAATTCTGAGATTAAAGTCAGAATTCTGAGATTAAAGTCAGAATTCTGAGATTAAAGTCAGAATTCTGAGAAAAAAGTTCAAATTCTGAGATTAAAGTCAGAATTCTGAGATTTAAGTCAGAATTCTGAGATTAAAGTTCAAATTCTGAGATTAAATCAGAATTCTGAGATTAAAGTCAAAATTCAGAGAAAAAAGTTCAAATTCTGAGATTTAAGTCAGAATTCTGAGAAAAAAGTTCAAATTCTGAGATTAAATCAGAATTCTGAGATTAAAGTCAGAATTCTGAGATTAAAGTCAGAATTCTGAGATTAAAGTCAGAATTCTGAGAAAAAAGTTCAAATTCTGAGATTAAAGTCAGAATTCTGAGATTTAAGTCAGAATTCTGAGATTAAAGTTCAAATTCTGAGATTAAATCAGAATTCTGAGATTAAAGTCAAAATTCAGAGAAAAAAGTTCAAATTCTGAGATTAAAGTCAGAATTCTGAGAAATTCTGAAATAAAATTAAAAAATCAATTAACTTTTTTTTTTTTCAGTGGCCCTAATCCTCTTCCATAAAAAATTGACTTAAGTAAGGCAACAAAGTATTTTTTTAAATGACTTACTAGACACCTCTGTATGCAGCTGCTGTACCTCGGATCTAGATGCTCTTAAAACACTGATTCTATTTCCACTTTGGACCTTTGAGCATTTTCTCTCCCGCACTTTTTCCTTCCACTCAACTTTTTATAAACATTCTTGGCTGCAGCGCTCTGTGATCAACTAGCTTCTTCATCAACGACCTTTTGTAGCTTGGACTCCTCGCATCGCCCGTCTCCATGACATCTGTGACGTCATCAGTCTTCCTCGTGGGTGTTTAGGCCATAGCTTAAAATGCATCATTTTAAAATCCTTTTTTATTTGCTGGTTTTTAAAAAATAAACAGAAAAAACGTTTGAATTATATCACTCTGGGTATAAAGATAAAAAAGGTTTCTTTTTTTCTATTAAATTACTTTAATGAACTCTTCTATAATATTATTTGTAGAAATGTAACTATATGCGCATTATACTGTTTTCCATGAAATCTGTTCTCAGCAAAGATGAAACAAGAACCTTCATTCCTGCATCTTTGTCTTAAAATCTCTTTAAATTGCCTGTAATGAAGGAATTAATTTCTTTAGTCTGATTTAACAATGAATTAAAAGTGATTGAATTAAGTTTATACTTGAACAAAAACACTTATCATTAGCATAACAAAGGTAATGGATTCTTTATATGAATCCATTTATAAGAATGTGAGAAATTTAAACTAAAATAACCTTTTTCTTTTTGACATTAATGTTTTCCTGCAGTGGAAACTATGAAGAAAAAGCATGAAATCAAACAGAGGAACTGCTGATCTATAGATCCATACATTCAAAAATCATTTATTAGATTCACTCGAAATTTTAAG